TGTGTGTTTTGATATCTATATTTTTAAATTGTAACCTTTTAAAGTTGAGATACTATAATTGACCCTTTACTGTGAACACACCCATATACGAAAACAGTAGAAGATCATTTCTCACATCTAGATGTTTTACTGCCCTGCTTATTGCTAACTTGATCTGTGGTCTTAGCGGAGCCTCTGGAGCCCTCGATTTTAAAGGGTAATGAACAGGGTATCACCAATACTGATATTGGTATCAGGTATCGGGTAGATATCAACGACTTGAACTCGTACTTGTACTCAAACCAAAGGACCCGATCCAGGGAACCAATACCCACATTTTTAATTTACATTAGCGCCACGACAGCAGACAGCTAGTGTTTTGCTGCTAGCTTAGCGGCAAGCTAAGCTAACTATCACGAGGTGGGTCCAAAACAAAACACTTATAACACCAGCAACTTGATAAAACAGAAAACTCACCACAACATAGAGTATAACACCTTTGCACCGGAGCTAGCACTGGAGCACAAAAACAACCAACATAGTATTATTATGAGAGGTATATGACAGTGGCTCTTATTGTTGACTGTTAAAACAATAAAATTGGTATCGGTGCATCCCTAGTAATGAACCATCACTCTACTGCAGGAAGAAGCATGTTGTCCCTTCCTTCAAACAAGTGTTGCATAAAATTGCACACAATTATAAATTATGAGGTAATATGAGGTCTTAAAACAAGATGTGCCAATTGGTAGCCATTTAGTCTTATTTGAAGAACTGTTGCTATATTTTCTCATTCCATGGGAGACATTTCTTGTATCTCTTTAACACAAGATAATTTGCCATGTCCCATTGGCAAATCTTGTTATCAGGCAGTCAAAATGTGCTCAAATTAAGATACATTTAGCTATTTTTTACTTATTTTTCATCCCTTTTTGCAGAGTGCATTTTCTCCGTGTAAATTTCTCCTTTGTGAGATCAATAAAGTATATCTTATCTTAAATTCAGAGTGCATTTTCTCCAGAGTGCATTTTCTCCAGAGTGCATTTTCTCCATGCTGTCTTACATGTATTATTTATGTACAGGGACAATCTGTAGAAACAGTTTAAATATACCAGATACATTTCCATCTGTTATGAATGTAAAATGCTGGTCCACATTGATGCAAATTATGCCGTCTCCTAGAACTCTTCAGGTCCATTGCACTCCATACAAGTCTCTCCGGCTCCACTTGTGTGAAGCCTGCTCCATGGTCTTAATTCAACTCAGTGTACTTGTGTATAGCCCTAAATAACTACAGCAGTCGTCTCAGAGGACATTGCAAAGTTGTTGATTCCTCAACACCAGACCAGAGAAACATGAAACATTTCGAATACAGAAAAATAGATAGGATAAGATAAAACTTTATTGATCTCACAATGGAGACATTTACATTTCACATTTGGCATGAATCGGATCAATCAGTGTGTGCAAAAGACAGGAAATGTGTAAATGAATAAAAGTGAGAGATGGTATTTTTTGTGCAGTAAAGGTATTTTATGTACAATTAAAATAAAAAAAGTGATTGTACATAAAATACCTTTATTACAATTATAACAAAAACATAGGAGCCTAAGAGCCTCCAGTAATGGCCTCCCACACACCGACAGGCTGTAGATTCAGGAATCCAGACTTGTGAAGCTTGGTCCATGAAGCCGCTCTCGCTCACACCTCCTGATGTGATGGATGTCAGGATAGCGGGTCGGTGTCAAAGAACATATTTGGCTCCTGGAGGTGGGAGGAATGTAGTTTAGCTCACCCCTGTGCAGAGGTGTGATGTCGGATATGGAACGCCTGGTCAGTCCACAGGTCAACCAGACCAATATATTATATATACATAACAATTATACACATTGACTATGGCATCTCCATGTTTTCACTGGTTAACTAACTTGGCGGCAATAATTTAGGATTAAAAGGCAGACATTTTCTTAAAATCATTGTCTGAGGAATCTTCTCTCTATTACAAAAGAAGTATAGATACAGTTTACTTTAACCAACTAACGATTTTCTTCAGACCTTTTTAACATTTCAGAACCTTTAACCCTCTTTGAGGCCCTGCAGTCTTGGATCCCTGGCAGGTGTGTATACATTTTCTATTTTCATGTAATATCTCAGTAAATCCATCTGAATCTGAGGTCCCTATTGATTGTTCCGAGGTCAGACAAGGCAAGTTTATTTGTATATCAAAGTTCATACAAAAGGCAGCTCAAAGTGCTTAACAAAAACAAGAAACATAACCAGAGAAGAAACATGAAAATAGTGAATAGTTATTAAAATCATACATATCCACAGTGCATTAAAAAAAGTAATGATACAATCTTTCAGTTGTATACAGCTCAACAGCACAAAAGACTATTCCAGATTTTAGCTGATTAAATCTGAAACGCTGCCTCCCCATGTTTAGAGTCCAGAAGTAGGAGGCCAGGCCTTGTGCGCTAAAATATCAGGGATGTACTTCGGTGCGACGCCATATTATAATACAATCAGATTACATTCAAAATAGTCGGTGGTGAAGAGATTTTCACCAAATAAAGCTCCTGATTGTGAGTTCTGCTCCCTGTCACTGTCACATGTCCTGAAGCTGTCGCCCACTCGGGCTCTTCCTGACACTCTGGGATTTTCGGCCATAAAACTGAGCTGTAACCAAAGCCAGAGCCGATAATCCAGCAGGACAATGGAGGAGGCCGGACAGGCTCAGGCTCAGACTGTCCCAGGACACCACATGGGGTTCACCAGCACCCCAGCCAAACAGCCGAGTTACACTGTTAAAGAGACACTGACAGGGATGACCATTTACACCAGGGTTTCCCAATCGGGGGCACGCAAACCCCTTTAGAGAGAGACCTTTGGGTAAGAAGCAAGAAGAATATATCCAACTGTGTCTCCAAAAGTGATACAACTCTACCACAAGACGGCGCTGTACACCCAATGTTTTGTAGCAATTCTGCTCCTTTAGTATCGTACAAAGTCCTGATCAGCGGCGGGGAGCTCCTTCACATTGACCTCAACAGAAAATCCATCTTAAGTAGTAATAAGGACAAGGAAGGAAGTCCTTTTTAGCGATTTCACATCATCCACGATTTCACTGTCCAGCATTTTCAAGGTCAAATGTTATTACATCTCTGCAACTCGGAGCCAAGTCTTGGGTCTCTATCATGTCTGCCCGTTCAATTTACTTTAGTCACAGGAGACACATGAAGGCACCATTAAGTTTGGTTGGTGTTTCTTTGTACTGTTGACCTTTTGTGTGGTCTTCTTTGTGCCTACTGTTCATTATCCTTTCATGGAAAAAATTGATCTGTAAAAAATAAATGCATTTTATAGCTCCTCTCATCCCATCTGTCGAATACAGAGAGAAGGCAACAAGTACTTTGCACTTAAGTACCTCTGTGATATGTCAGTGCCATATGTACCAGAGCACAGAGACTGGCCTCTTGCTGGTGCCCAGAGTCAGGATTAAACATGGAGAGGCAGCGTTTCAGATTTATGCAGCTAATAATAATGGATCAGTTTTATATAGTGCTTCTTTTGGACGCTCAAAGACAATTTACATGACATTATTCTTTCATTCCATACACAGTGGACACAGTGCAGCACGTTGGGGGAAAGGAGGGTCCTGGACAAACCAACATCTATGCTAGACCATGACTGTCACCCCCTGCAGGCCACTCTGGCTGCTCTGGAGAGCAGCTTCAGTGACAGACCCACGCTGTGTGAAGGAGAGGTTCTCCAGGTCTTTCCTTCATGCTGCTATCAGACTGTACAATGAGAACTGCTGATCCTGTAAATGTCATTCTTCTGTAAATATGGATATACTGCAATCGTTACAACCCTAAACTTGGCTCTGAGAAGACAGTAACAGCAATCATGTGCAATGGTCAATACTGCAACTTCAGAGTGTCCACTGAACAGTGTCACTTTACTTTATCTACCCATTATCCTGCCCTATATTTTTTTTAAAGACTGGTATTGAAGCATTTACAGCTAGCTAAGAAACATAGCATCTACTTACTTATTTTGTATATTTTGTGTGCTCCCTGTGTGCCTTTACTACTGTCCTGTGTGTGCGCTGCAACATTGAAATTTCCCCACTGTGGGACAAAAAAAAGGAACTCTTATCTTATAAACTATTACTTTGCCCTGGGACACACTGACAGAAGCGAGGCAACCAGTATGTACACACAAGACTCATTCTAGGCAATGTGGGAAAAATGTCTTGCCTAAGGACACAACAGCAATTTGGTCCTTTACAGCCGCAGCCGCCCTACTGTGTTCTCAGGTCTCCCATCAGCCATCACAGTACTTCAGAGGTTTGACGGGATCTGGCTTTCACATGCAGGTATGGCAAGCCTGTCTTTCTGAAATTGTGAGACAGGCTTCTACTTTGACATTTTTTGATCATCTCTATTTCAGACTCAAATTGAATTGGTCAATATATGTCTTGCCTTTCCTTACTTGAAAACGAATGAACTAAAACAAAACATTTATTCATACTGGAACACCTTCCTCCATATTTTGGAACGTACTCCAGAGTGCAATATATTTATTTGAAACACTACAAACATACTGTATTCCTTCCACATTATAGCTCAAAGGCAATCCCCAGACAATCCCACGCGTGCTCTTCACTTCCACTTGTGTTTTAAATCAGACGTGACCAATTAAACACACTCCATTTAGCACGTGGTCAAGCCCTGGTTTTAACCCCATCCTTCAGTTTCGGCTTCAGATAAAAGCGCACACGGACGGACTAATATCTTGGACAGAGCCATCAACACGAGCGCACTCCTTTGGGGCGCTGTCAGGTCCCGCCCACTTCAGTCAGTTACTGCAAAGTGTCAAAGGAGCAGCTGACCACAGACTGGAACAACTTCATCCATCCCACGTTCCAGGGCTAACTTTATAACAGCCAAAAACCTCGTGCGTAAAAGGACCACATAACCACGCGTAAAGGGAGCTTACCCGTGCGTAAAAGTTGTGCCATGCGCTCGTCTGCTGTCGTCGCACCGGAGCCTTGCCACAGCGGAGAGGAAGACAGCGCGCTGGCCCAGGCTGGCACGGGCATGAGGGGGTCAGCACTGCTCTGGGCGGGCCCCGGGGTGGGCTGCAGCGGGCCGCGGAGAGAGAAGGAGGAGGAGGTGGAAGAAGGAGAGCCACAAGTTCAGCTCGAGGCCCGGGAGCTTTGGAGGCAGTTTGACCAGTGTGGCACCGAAATGGTTATAACCAAGTCAGGAAGGTAACATTATTTTTTTATTATACACACACCAGACTACATTGAGTCTGGTGTGTGTGTGAATGGTAAGTGGTGGTCCGAGGGGCAGATGGCACATACTGGTTGCCTCGCCTTTGTCAGTGTGCCCCAGGGCAGCTGTGGCTATTGTAGTAGTAGTGTATCACCACCGTGTATAGAGTGAAAGAATAAGGACATAAAAAAGTGCTGTAAAAAAACGGTGCATTATTATTATAACATTCAGCGTTGGGGAGTGACTTAAGTTGGGGTAATTAACCTTTTTGTTGTTTGTCCCATTTTGCATGATTTTACAAATCACACCACAACATGCTGTCTTCATCTTATGATAAAACAGATTATTTGTTGCTTGCTTGTAAAAAAAATAGCCATATGAGTCACTTTGGGCTGAGAGCTGATTGGATGAAGGAGGGTGGGCCTCACTTTTTATCTTCATTACTATGAGGCAATGTAGACATTAGAATTACTGCACAGTTCATTCAGAAGGCAACTCAAAGTGCTAAAATTAAGTACCTTTATTTGATATGAATTAAAGGTACTTGATATTAAAAGGTCAATATTAAAGGAGCAATATGTAAAAATCTGGCCAAAAGTGGTACTGCAGTCACAGTCAATATTTTGTAGTCCTCTCCCACTCTCCCTGACTCAGGTTGCCAGATTCGCACCAAATCCAGCAGCAAACACAGGGAATTATTTTATCAGTTGTTTCTCCGTCTCCATTCACATTGCCATGACAGCCGTGCTAATGCTGAATGAATGTTTTGATTCATGTTTTTTTATTATTATAATTTGGACATTTGAGATAAAAAACAAAAACAAAATAAAAGCAATGTAATTATACATAGTTTATGCAAAATAAATAAGAAATTGATGTCCAAAATAGGAGTGGGAAGAATGGATGTTGGAACGTATTTCTTCAGCGTATCAACATCAGGGTTTGCTCAAGAGGATATCACCTTTCAATTTTATTTATTCCCTATTTTTTAGACAAACATGTAAAAGTCCCACATCAAAAAGAGACTAACATTATTTTAATTGGGGTACATGTGGTCTTAAATGATTATTTTTACAATTAAGCTATAATCTGCAAAAAAACGTCTTGACCTTCATCTTTTACCGTTTTTAGAGCAATCTGTCATAGAATGTGATCACATGCAATAAATACAAAAAGACATAGCCCGGAATCGAACCCGGGTTTCTGCATCGTAAGCGCGCAGCTTAGACCGCTAGGCCACCGGTTCACACGAACAGAGACACCGTGAAGAACGGAATCAAAGTAGAAAATTCTGCATCACACGTGAACTTTTATCAGCTGTCTCAATTGTTCAAAGGCATCCCGATATAAATCCTCGTTTTAGTCTTTGTTTTGTCATTAATTATTTGAGAGTCATAACAAGACCTTTTTTAGTTCTACGCCACATGTTATTTTACCACTGAGATTAATGAGCCGCGCGGAGTTCTGGCAACTCGATCACTGACTTACATGACACTTCCTGATTGGCGAAACGGCGGAGGGTAGGACATCAAAATCAAAACAATAACAACTTTTACGGGTCGTAAAACTAATTTTGATGATCAAATATCTCGGCTGAACTACTGTTATCAGTTAAAGATGAATTCGAAAAGAGTATGATTTAATAACGCCTTTTGAAATATTTGGGTCATTTAATGATGACTTGACATGCAAATATTACATATTGCTCCTTTAAGTACCATTTATGTATGGGTTAGGGTTAGGGTTGAATGTGCAAACATTTATTCAATAATTTACATTTATAGAATTTAATAAAATGATCAAATCTAAGATTGCTTTGTCTCTGCAACACCTGGAAATTATGTGTTCTTTTTGGCTTTTTATCCAGTTTTTTATGGCTTTGGTGTAGAGTATTTTTACTGGTTTGACGGTCGCCTCTGTGGCCTGGGATCTGCAGGGGATACAATAACTGATATGGGGAAAGGTAGGCCGTCTCTAAATAATTTTAACCTCACGTTTTTATTATTCAAAACATTATATCGATTTACAGTCATCTCTATTGCCCACTGTTTATTTTGTTTATAATGGTTAAACATGCAGCAACAGGTTAATTTGAAAGTGAACATGCCATTACTTTTCCAAATGTTAGCTCTCAAAATAGGACTTTTACATTTTCAGCGGCCCCTGAAATAGGTTTCAATTAATACTAGTAATTGCAGCATTGATGGTGAGGTTAATATGAGCTGCATGTGTTGTACCACATTAAAGCAAGTTATGGCAAGAAAACAACAATAGAATTATTTTCGTTTCTAAAAATTGAACTGGACGCATAATTAGACATATAGTTCATTTAAATATATCATTGGCCAAAACATTTTCTGTTAAATTAAATGAATTTTAAAGTTGGCCTTAAATATTGTTGTGAGTGTATGTTAGACCTATTATCACTGTATACTATATCCAGAGACGTCCTGTGTAGACCTGGTTTTAACTAGGTGGTATTCAAAGTCCAGATTTATAGATCTGAAAGTAGTACAAGTCTTTGCACGGTGGCTGAGTGGATAGCACTCTCGCCTCTCAGCAAGAAGGTCCTGGGTTCGAATCCCGGTCGGACCAGGGCCTTTCTGAGTGGAGTTTGCATGTTCTCCCCGTGTCTGCGTAGGTTTCCTCCGGGTACTCCGGTTTCCCCTACCACTAAAAATATGTACAATAGTTCAGGCATGCGCCTCCTGTTCGGCGACCCCGCTCCCGTCTCTGTGTGGAGTGAGAGGACAAGTGCCCAAGAATAACAATTGTAAACCGCTTTGTGACTCTGGTTTGTGAAAGGCGGTATATAAATAAACATTACTTACTACTACTACTACTACTTACTTTCTCATTATGTGGCACTACTTTAAGAACCTACTGGCCTTCTGTCTGAACCATCTTGAGCCAGACTATTCACAACCAGTACTATGTGATAATAAACTATTAAAATTATTTGTGTTCCAGACGCATGTTTCCTCCTCTCCGCATACGCTGCTTCGGCCTTGAGCCCAAGTCAAAGTACATGTTTCTGCTGGACATCGTGGGAGCGGACGACAGTCGCTACAAGTTCCACCAGGGGCGCTGGATGGTGGCGGGACAGGCCGATCCAGAGCTCCCCAAACGCATGTACATCCACCCAGACAGCCCCTCCAGTGGACAGCAGTGGATGAACAAGGTCATCAACTTTCACAAGGTCAAACTCACCAACAACATCTCCGACAAGCATGGATTTGTGAGTACTGAAGCTGCTCTGATACCTGTGATACCACAGCTGCCTGGGGCAGACTGGTGTGAAGTTGTAGCATGGCACATCTGGACCCTCCTTGATCTATTGTTTGGTGACTTTCTAGGAGAAAAGATATAGTCTAGGGTTTTTTTCCATCACAGTCCATGACTACATTATTGCGTCTACATTGCTAATTCAAATATAAACTAAAAAAGCTTTTGTAGAGTGCTTGATGGACCAAGAGGAAGAGTTCCGTTGCTTAAGAACATCCTGGGACCAGTGGTTCTGAGCTTTACTGAACATTCCCTTATAAGCTGCCTTTAACTTTAAGTTTGAGTTATCCTGCAAACTAACAACTAGACAGTCAAACAATCTCTGGGGATTACATTACCCCCTGGCAAAACGTATCCAAGTATATTATCCACTTCTTTAGAAGTCTGTATTGTAAGGGCACGGTCAGAAAGGTTTTACAAACGACCTAGGTCAAGTGGCCCGGATCGTCGCCACAGACAACTGTGCTGTAGTACAATGCTCGGTCCAGCTGGTGGCGTTAATACTAACTTCAGCGACGACCTTGTTGTCCGAGTTAAGTTTCTGTTTCTCTTCCTGTTTACATTCTGCTACTGTAGCTAACAGCTTGAGTATGGATCGCGTTGTTTAGGGAAAGACACATCTCACACTTGTCCACATTGCTCTGATGCAAAGTGCAGCAGTTCAGTGGGTAACATGTGTCTGCCCACGTGTGTGTGTGGGTGTGTGTGCGCGCGCACGCGCCGCGGACACCATTGCACACACACACACACACACACACACACACACACACACACACTCTTTAGTAATGGGCGTAAGAGCGCAGAGAAATGAATGAATGATAATGAAAGAATGAAAACTGTGGCGTACGAGCAGAGGAGACAGGCAGGATACAAGTGTGTGTTGAAACCTTATATGAATGGTTTAACACAAGCGGAGAATACGAAAGTGCAGGGAGACAACAGAAGACGTAATGTGACGCACAATATCACCGCCACACTGACCTCCCTCATCTGGACATTACAAAGCGGGCCCTGGCCCAAGTCTTCAAGCGGGCTTGAGCACAATTGAGGCTATGGTGCCCAAGCCTCACATACTGTAGCACCTAAAGACCGGATCTAATCGCAAAGTGGACCTTGGCCCACTTAAACCGGGCTTTAGGCTGTGCATGTGACCGCAGCCTAAGGTGTCCTCTCCTGTGTCCTGTCAGACCATCCTGAACTCCATGCACAAATACCAGCCCAGGTTCCACTTGGTGAAGGCCAGCGATGTGCTGACGCTGCCGTACAGCACCTTCAGGAGCTACGTGTTCACTGAGACACGCTTCATCGCCGTCACGGCCTACCAGAACGACAAGGTACGACTGCAGTCGGGAGAATATACAGAGTGTAGACATATAAAATGTTATGAGAAACAAAAATGAACATGGAGTATTGTAAATACTGCTTAATGACCACATGTTTGAACAGTAGACTTCCGCCTTCGTCAGAGGAGACTTGCGATGGTGTGACGTGTCTCTAAGTCAGTTGTTGGTACCGGCCGGTCTGACAGATCAGGCAGATCCATCAGACTGACCACGTCCCCTGGACCATCAAAAGAGACAAGGGGCCTTCCTCTTGGCTCACACTTGGGACTCACTTCTTCAGAGACCACACTGATACTTAGCTTAGCTTTAGTGGTCTGACATGTAGGCGGCGGCGCAACTGTTCCTCAGTTCCAGAGAGTCCAGGGTGTCAAGTCCCATCAGGACTTTTCATGGAACAGACAGATGGACAACAGGTGAACAGCAATGCACAGATTACATTTAAAACATCAAGTAAAACTGCCAGTGAAGAAGAGTTATATTCATCTTGAAGCTGTGACAAGCTTAAAACAATGGAAAATGGACAGTTGAGTAAAATAGTTAAGAGTCTGGTGACATTTAGCATGCCTAAAAATATGTGTACAGTATTGGAAAGAGTACCCCAGTGCAGACTCTATACAGTAACAGAATACACATTCAAATATTGTTCCTGCCTTTTCCCTGTGCACTCAGATAACGCAGCTGAAAATAGACAATAATCCATTCGCCAAGGGGTTTCGAGACACAGGCAACGGGAGACGAGAGAAGAGGTGAGGCAAGTTTAGAGCACTCATTAATTTTAATGGATTTGATTGAGTCTAAAATATACAATGTCACATCTTTCATTCTTAGCTCCATCTGCACTAATATCACAAACCACCTTCCTGTGTAAAGGCTTTGTTTTTGAAAACCTTCAAAGACACTTCACATTACATTATTCTTTCACTCCAATCATGGGGTGATATACTAGTGTAGCCACAGTTGCCCAGGGACACACTGACAGAAACGAGGCAACCAGTATGTGCCATCCGCCCCTCAGACCACCATCGATCATTTACACACACGCCAGACACATTCTAGGCCAGGGATGTCAAAGTCAAATACCTCAGAGGGTCAAATAACCTAATTTGCTACAAGCCGTGGGCCGGGCAAGTTTATTAAAACATATCAAAATGATTGCATATAACCTATTGAACCAAGACTTAACACAGTCTATCGTGTTCTATTTAATGATTAAATGAATAATCCAATAGTCTTGAAGGGCTCTGTCAGTCATTTCAAGTGAAAACATTTTTCAACAGGCTCACAGACAAAAACAAACTTCCTTCAATGAGAAAACACAAGTCCTAAGCATTAAATGAACAAACCAATATTGTCTCATGGCTCTCTGTGGGCCAGTTCTAATACTCATCCCAGGGGGCAAGATAATTCATTTGCGGGCCGGATTGACTTTGACACCCATGTTCTAGGCAATGCACCCAAGGACACAATGACAGTTTGGAGCTGCAGTTGCCGCACTGTGGCACCTGGTGTTCCCAGAGGTCTCCCATCACAGTACTAACCAGGCCCATGCTTGTAAGCTTAAAAACTAAACTAACCTGTCCAAAAACACCATGTTGCCTCTTCTTCACACACTGAGCCACATAGGCTGTTGTGTTCGAATGACTAGGCATCTAACCCGCCTTGCGACCAAGACTTTTTGTGACCACTCGACCAAAGGTTCTAAAACTACACAAGAGTCGGGCGAGGGACAGTACTTTGCATAAGGACAGCGTAACGAGCCGTGGAGCTGTGTTTGGGTGTGTGTATTTGTGTAGTCTTGTGTTGTAAGTGAACAGTGTAGTATTTGTGAGCGTGCGTGTCTGAGTATGTTTGCGCATGTTCGTGTATATGTGTGTAGTTTTGTGTGGTAAGGGTACAGTGTATTGTGTGCGTCAGAGAGTGTGTGTGTGCGTGTCTGAGTATGTGTGTGTGTGTGTAGTTTTGTGTTGTAAGGGTACAGTGTATTGTGTGCGTCAGAGTGTGTGTGTGCGTGTCTGTGTATGTGTGCGTGTGTAGTTTTGTGTTGTAAGGGTACAGTGTATTGTGTGCGTGTCTGAGTATGTGTTTGTGGGTGTATTTTTGTGTTGTAAGGGTACAGTGTATTGTGTGTGTCTCTGAGCATGTGTGTGTGTGTGTAGTTTTGTGTTGTAAGGGTACAGTGTATTGTGTGCGTGTCTGAGTATGTGTGCGCGTGTAGTTTTGTGTTGTAAGGGTACAGTGTATTGTGTGCGTGTCTGAGTATGTGTGTGTGTGTGTGTATTATTGTGTTGTAAGGGTACAGTGTATTGTGTGTGTCTCTGAGCATGTGTGTGTGTGTGTAGTTTTGTGTTGTAAGGGTACAGTGTATTGTGTGCGTGTCTGAGTATGTGTGCGCGTGTAGTTTTGTGTTGTAAGGGTACAGTGTATTGTGTGCGTGTCTGAGTATGTGTGCGCGTGTAGTTTTGTGTTGTAAGGGTACAGTGTATTGTGTGCGTGTCTGAGTATGTGTGTGTGTGTGTGTATTTTTTTGTTGTAAGGGTACAGTGTATTGTGTGTGTCTCTGAGCATGTGTGTGTGTGTGTGTAGTTTTGTGTTGTAAGGGTACAGTGTATTGTGTGCGTGTCTGAGTTTGTGTGTGTGTGTAGTTTTGTGTTGTAAGGGTAAGTGTATTATATGTGTGTCTGAGTATGTGTGTGTGTAGTTTTGTGTTGTAAGGGTACAGTGTATTGTGTGTGTGTCTGAGTATGTGTGTGTGTGTAGTTTTGTGTTGTAAGGGTACAGTGTAGTGTGTGCGTCAGAGAGTTTGTGTTTGCGTGTCTGAGTGTGTGTGTTTGTGTGTGTCAGTGTGTAGTTGTGTGTTGTGATTGTACAGTTTTTCCTTCTGGTGTTAACAGGAAGCTGGCACATGCCTCAGAGCAACGCAAAGAGCTGAGGAAGAGTGACCGACAAGAGCCAGGCCCCGCCCTGCACTCAGACAGCTCCAAGTCATCAGGTACATACACGTACATACACACACACACACATACACGTTTTTGTTACCTGGTGGGTCCCTTTGACAGGGCCGTTCAGAATGGGACCCATAGACATAATATTTTTTACTGGGACTACTTTAAGTAATACAAAACAGTCAATAGAAAACAAACAACTCTTTTAAAGGAATTTTATTTTTGATTTTTTTTTCGAATTGCTGTGATTCTATTTTTGACATAGAATTTAATGCCACTCCATGTCCGATGTCTAAGGTCATCTGGTGAGGCATTAAAGGCGCTATACCCGTTTCTGCAATGTTTGAATGTTTAGCACCGCCCCCCAACTCGCTCAATGGCTTCTCATTTCCGCTACGCTCTCATCCCACGGAGCCACCTAGTTTTATATGCAATCTGATACATATGCTAACATTAGCATTAGCGCAACTTCTTGTAAGCTGTGCAACAATCACTGATGAAATGGTACAAAAGCAATGCACTGCTAACACAATATATAAGTAAAAGAATACCGCTAGTTTTGCGTCCGAATGTATTAATTTAAACATTAGAATATATTCTAATATTTAATTATAATTTATTAAACAGCTCCTCACAGCAGCAGCACTCCATTGACTTGAATGCAATTATTCCGATCATTTTTTCTTGATAACAGAACTCTCAAATCAAAAATGACCGCAGCCCCAATGCAATCTCTGTTTGTAATTCAGGTGTGTGAAATACTGCCATTACTTCGCAAGTACAAGTTATCAGCGCCTGTCACTACACTGTGCAGTTTCTCTGCACACTTGTAGAGAAGCTAGCCACGCTCAATAAACAAATACATATCAATCAATAAACACCATTAAACGTTAATCAGACAATACAGTATACATGTACATCCTTAACACACATGCACGGACGATTTCAGAACTTGCTGTCAACGTTTTCATGACAAAAATACTGTTTTAATGTGACAAAAAGCGATCGCGAAAAACCCGGAAGTTACCATGAAACAGCTAGCTAGCTTAGCTGTCACCAGCCTAGCACGTCCCGGTGAAACCTTTGGGAGCTAACTATTTTATTTGCAGTCATTAAATATATTTCAAATTGTAAGGGCTGTCTAATATTTGTTCAAATATGTATATATTTTTTATTTTAGAATTATATTCGAATTTTGAAGTCGAAGCCCTGGTGTTAAGCAGCGCTGTAGGGGCTAGAGGACGCAGGCTGTTCGTGTATTTCACTTTGGAGAGAGCAAGAGGGGAACATGCAGAGTTAGAAGTTTGTTGATTGAGTATTGTTTGGGCACTAGGCCGTGAGAGATGCTTATGAGGTACGGCGCTTGCTCGCGCGCCTAATCCACCCGGCGGCCTAGGCACTGGTGACCGGCAGAGCAGTAGGCATGCTCGCTTCGATGAGAGAGGAGGACGGTGGGCGGCGGGGCTTTGCAAACTTCAGAAGGCGGGAATGGGCGTCTCGGGCTTTTAACTTGCTGTCCTGGTGGTATGGTGGATTAGATGTGGGGGCGTTTTGCTGGTTGTAAAGAGTAGGGTGAGCGCTTGGTAGATCTGGCGCCGTGGCGGGTCTGCCACAAGTGAACTTTCGCGAGAGCTTCATTTCACTTTGGAGAGACCCAAAAGGGAAAATGCAGTTAGAAGAATCCCAAAAAACGGGCAGGAGTTATCTTTGCGCGCGGGACGGTGGGGTATAGAGCAATATGTACGCTCTCTGCGCTTGAGAGATAGAGAGAGAGAGAGCGCTCGCTTCCGATCAACGGACGCTGCCTGGGAGTGACGCTCGATTCACGATCGATTCAGACGCTGTAGCAGGTTGTCTTTAAGCGCCGGACGTGAGCGCTTCGCATCCCGATCTGATACCAGCGCTGTAGCAGAGTTGTCTTTTAAGCGCCGTGGACGTGAGCGCTGCAGTCACGATCGATACCAGAGCTTGTAGCAGAGTTGTCTTTACGCGCGGGACGTTGGCGCTGGCATCACGGGGATCAATGCGGACGCTGTCTGGGACTGAGCGCTCGCATCACGAATCGGTACCAGACGGTTGCGGTGGAGTATCTTTAAAGCGCCGGGACGTGAGCGCTGCATCACGATCAACCGGACGCTGCCTGGGGACGTGGAGGAGCGCTCGCATCTACGATCGATACCAGACGCTTGTAGCAGGAGTTATCTTTGAGCCCGGGACGTGAGCGCTCGCATCACGATCAACCGGACGCTGCTGGGAGTGCGCGTCGCATCACGATCGGTACCAGACGCTGCAGTTGAGTGATCTTTAAGCGCCGGCCGTGAGCGCTCGCATCACGATCAACCGGACGCTGCTGCAAAAGGGTTATCTTTGAAGAATGCGTGGCCGCACCAGAATCCTATTGGTTTACTTACTTTGCTTTGTATTTGGCTTTGCTGGGAGCTTACGAGGCAGCCAGTAGCCGTTGTGCCAGCCAAGAAGGCGGACGCATTGGCTGATGTTGGTAGGCGGAGTAAGGCCGAAGAGGAACCAGCGCCCCAGCGTTGCAGAGAGGTGTGAGGGTCGCCCAAGCAAGGCCGCGCGGTGCCCCCCCACCCCCCCCCCCCCCCCCCCCCCCACCCCCCCCCCCACCCCCCCCCCCCGGGCAGCGCCTTTCCGGAAAAGAGTGAGCTGTGTAGAGCTGGGGAGACAATTTACAGAGGAGCAGTAGGATCTTAGTTGAGCTTGAACAGGTTGACTTTGTCATGGGAAGAATGTCTGGAGTGGAGAATATAGTGGGTCCGTTAAACTCTCCTTTTGCAGCGGAGGGAGTGTAACGCATATGGATTTGTAGGGGCAGAGGAGATGTGTCCCGAGCGAGCTATTACTATATTGCAGGATAGCCTTTGATTTTTGAATGTTTTGCGTCGGAGGTTGAAATGGTCAGGGGCCATTATGTTGGGTGAAAAAGAGCGGATCTTTGTGTATGCTTCCATACGTCGAGATTAATCACACATGACAGAGATCCTTTCTCGCCACGTAGTGATTCACAGCGCGCAGGCCACGACCATGGAATATCAGTGTCGGGCAGAGGAGATGCTCCGGTTGAATGTAGCGGCCACGCTCGGCAAACCAATGGTCCTGGAAGAATCCCAAAACCACGGAAGGGGCAGCGTATCCGTGCTAGAAGCGGAGACCTGTAGGGGCAGGAGAGACATATCGGGGAGTGCCATTGATGATGCGCGCCTTACGTGTCGTATCATGGGTTGGAGAGTAGATAATCAGGATGTAGGATTGTCGGGGAAGGGAAAGCCGTGTCTCGGACCGCATAAGGTTGAGTGGCCATGGTGAGACACTTATGCAGAAAGAAAGAAGCCACAGACAGGGAGCAGCAGGAAGATGTGCGAGGAGGGCAGATTGTACTTGGTAGAATGAGCCGGAGTTCAGGCGCGTGCAGGATGGCAGCGTGATGGGGAGAGCCTCTTGCGATAAGATGAGGAAGAATACTGGTTCTGTGATGCCTTTGATTAGGAGTGGCCGATTGAGGGCTCAGCGCAGCTACTTGGCCAGCTGATCTGATAGATCAGAAGATTAGGGTATAGAGAGCTGAAGATGACCGCCGAAGGACCCTGGGAGCATAGGTGCGAAGGTCCAGCGCCGCGCGGGCATACTCAGCGGGCAGGCGGGCTGCATCCATAGAAGCTGGATACGCTTCTGAGAGAGGGGTTGCAGCAGTAGCCGTTAGCAGCAGTAACCTCAGATTAATAACTGCAATAGTCCTGTATCAGCCGCTGCAGCAGCAGTAGCAGGTGCAGCAGCTGGCAGCAGCGTCCTTAGAATTAACAGTAATAATCCTGTATCTAAGCCACAGCAGTAGATTTGGTTGTTGTAGCGTTCAGTGTTTTCAGTAAAAGAGATGAAGTGAAGAGAGATGGCAATAGTAAATGAAGCAGCAGCAGCAGCAGTGGTAGCAGCAGTAGCGTATGAAGCAGCGCCGAGTAGCCTTAGTAGCAGTATTGAAGCAGCAGCAGTTAGCAGCATGATAGCAGCAGCGCAGTAGCAGCGCAGCAGATTGCAGATCCGTAGATAATAAAACGCAATAATCTGTATCAAGCCAGAGCCGTAGGAATATTGTTGTAGCCGGGTTTTGGGTTTCAGTACAAGAGTTGCGAAGTGACAGAGAGATGTTCAAAGTAATGAAGCAGCCGCAGCACGGCAGCAGTAGCCGTATGAAGCGAGCAGCGGCAGCAGTAACGGTAGCAGCATGAAGCAGCAAGAAAGCTGCATTAGCAGTATGAAGCAGCGCAGCAGCGGATGCCAGCATCCGTTAGATAATAACAAGAATAGTCTGTATAAGCCACGCAGAAGAATATTGATTGAGCTAGTTTATTAGTGTTTCAGTAAAAGAGATGCGAAGTGAAGAGAGGTGTCAAAGTAAAAAGAAGCAGCAGCAGCACGGGCAGCAGTAGCAGTAGACAGCAGCTTGGGTGCAATTAGCAGCTTTAGCGGCAGCAGTGAGCAGCGTAAGCGAGTTTGCAGTATGAAGCAGCAGAAGCAGCAATTAGCAAGGAGCAGTTGAAATAATAAACCACAATGCCGATTTCATACGAACAACCAGACGTGTACGCCAGGTGCGCCGCTTGTTCTCGTGAGCCAGGTTACTCTGTGTTGCAAGAAGCCGAGCCGTAGAGAAGGTGCAGCCTCGGTGAGCCTGCGGAGCCTGGGTGGCGCGGCAGGAACACAGCAGCGGCACATGTAGTAGTAGGAGCAGCAGGCGCAGGCAGCAGGGACAGGCCAGGCAGCTCGGGAGAGCGGTGCGGGAACAGGCAAGCAGCGGGAAAAACAGGCAGCAGCGGGATCAGGCATCAGTGGGAACGGCAGCAGGGACCGCAGCAGCGGCGGTCAGAGAACCATGCCATGGTTGTTTAAGAGCTGAGGAACTAATTCAAACCCCGAAATCCGAAACATTCCCATGCGAGAATAACAGATGCCCCTGGGCATCTTGCTGCTTTTGGTTATGGCCAGATACGCATGACCGATCACTTTTCCATGGTTCATTAGGCTCAACACCCACTTCAAACCCATGGCAGAGTTCTCATTGGGCCCTTTTTCTTTCTGGCTGCACTTTCAAAATGCAACATACTGCGTTTAGTTACCCAATTTAATTCTAGTGGACCTAGCAATTAAATGCACGGCCCCTCCTTCTCCCGCCAGATGACAAATTTAAATTGCATCCATATAACATAGTGACCTGCGGGGTAATGAGATTTATGCTGTTAAGATGAGGCCGTGGCTAAGAGTTTCTGGTGTGTGCCGTCTGGAGCACAATGGGGTAGTCTTTGCAATATTTTCCAACGTGGGTTTTACTGCAAGTGGCAGAACATGAATTCTGAATTATGCACCTTGCTCCTCTCTATATCTCAGCAATAGAGGATTGATTCCATTTAACATGCATTGCCCTCAGTTTGCTCAAACAGTGTGAAACGGAGGCCTGCAGACCAAGCATGGGGCGGAAACTGACGCCTGCAGTTCAAGTGGTAGGGCAAAAAAACCAGCCGCTGCAGCTAGGACTCGGTGATTAATCCGTCAGGGTCAGGCACACTCCACTGTACTCACATGCCAGGAGGATTGGGAAAGCAACGGGAAACGCGCACCCCCAATGGAGGCAGGGACATGCACGGCACCAGAGACCACGAGGACGAGCAGCACAGAGGAAAAAAAAAAAAAAAAATAAAAAAAAAAACAAAACAAAAAAAAAAAAAAAAGAGATAAATAAAACAAAAAAAAAAAAAAAAAAAAAAAAAAAAAAAAAAAAAAAAAAAAAAAAAAAAAAAAAAAAAAAAAAAAAAAAAAAACAAAAAATAACAAAAAAAAAAAAAACAAAAAAACAAACAACCAAAAAAAAAAAAAAAAAAAAAAAAAACAAAAAAAAAAAAAAAAAAAAAAACAAAAAAAAACAAAAAAAAAACAAAAAAAAAAAAAAACAAAAGAAGAAAAAAAAAAAAAAAAAACAAAACGAAAAAAAAAAAAAAAAAAAACAAAAAAAAAAAAAAAACGAGAAAAAACAAAACAAAAAAAAAAAAAAAAAAAAAAAAAAAAAAAAAAAGAGAGAAAAAAAAAAAAAAAAAAAAAAAAAAAGAGAGGAAGAAAGAGAAAAAAAAAAAAAAAAAAAATAAAAAAAACAAACAAACAAACAAAAAAAAAAAAAAAAAAAAAAAAACAAAAAAAAAAAAAAAACAAAAAAAACACAAAAAAAAAAAAAAAAAAAAAAAAAAAAAAAAAAAAAAAAAAAACAAAAAAAAAAAAAAAAAAAAAAAACAAACAAAAAAAAAAAAAAAAAAAAAAAAAAAAAAAAAAAAAAAAAAAAAAAAAAAAAAAACAAAAAAAGAGAAAAAAAAAAAAAAAACACAAAAAAAAAAAAAAAAAAAAAAAATAAAAAAAAAAAAAAAAAAAAAAAAAAAAAGCGATGAGAAAAAACAAAAAACACCAAAAAAAAACAAAACAAAAAAAAAAAAAATAAAAAAAAAAAAAAAAACAAAACAAAAAAAAAAAAAAAACAACAAAAAAAATAAAAGACGCGTGAATCACACGAGACTCACGTGTGATTCACGCGTGAAAGGCGACAAAACGGAATGGGACCTACTGTACGCATGAACGATCACTTTTCCATGCGTTCATTAGCTCCAACTCCACTTCAAACCCATTGCAGATTCACATTGGGCCCTTTTTCTTTCTGCTGCACTTTCAAAATGCAACAACTGCAGTTTAGTTACCCAATTTAATACTAGTGACCTAGCTATTTAAATGCATGGCCCCTCCTTCCTCCTGCAGATAGACGAATTTAAATACATCCATTTAACAATAGTGACCTGCGAGTAATGAGATTAATGCTGTAAAGATGGCGCCGTGGCAAGAGCTCTGGTGTGTGCCGTCTGGATCACGATGGGTAGTCTTTGCACATATTTCCAACGTGGTTTTACTGCAAGTGGCAGAACATGAATCTGAATTATGCACATTGCTCCTCTTATATCCCTCAGACAATAGAGATTGATGCCATTTAATATGCATTGCCCCTCAGTTAGCTCAAACACGTGTGAAAACGGAGCCTGCAGACCAAGCACGGGGCGAAAACTGACGCCTGCAGTCAAGTGCGCAGGGCAAAAACCAGCCGCCTGCAGCCTAGACTCCGGGATTAATCCGTCCGCGGTCGGCACACTCACTGTACTCACATGCCAGGAGACTTGGGAAAAGCAACGGGACAACGCGGCACCGCCAATCGGAGGCAGGGACATGCACGGCACCGCCAGACCGTCTGCGCGCGGCAGCAGACCACGAGGAACGAGCAGCACAGAACCTGCAGAGGGGCCCCGCGGATCAGCCCACAGAGGAGGAGAGCAGTGGAGACACGCGAACCACAGCAGGTGCAGGGACGCGGAGGAGGAGCAGACCACGAGCAGCCAGACTGAGGACAGCAGGGCCACGCGCACGAGCAACACGTGAGCAGAAGCGACCCCTCCAGAACAACGCATGCATTTGCGAACAGGTGTGTTAGCGACATGCACCTTGCAGGCTTCAGAAGTTTGCAGACTTCAGAAGGCCGGGAAGTGGGCGTCTCCGGCTTTTAACTTGCTGTCCTGGTGGTTATTGGTGGATTGGATGTGGGCGTTTTGCTGGTGTAATGAGTAGAGGATGAGCAGGCTTGTAGCAGCGGCCGGGTCTACCACAGTGAACTTTCGCGAAGAGCTTCATAACATACCATCCAATAATTATATCGGACCACTCTCCAATTTCGATGGATATTCAGATTTCACAGGGTCCCCGTTACTCATCGCCATGG